TGTGTAAAAACTGAGTGTGAATAACGACAGATGTAAGACAGATAAGTTGTGAGAATAGCTGAATCTATTGTCTTTATTCTGGTTATAATATAACAAACATGACATAGGAATGTTACAATAGTCTGATATTAACAGAATTTTTTCTGCCCTTTTTTCCTTCTAAAAAAATAGGAATTAAATTCCTTTTGTCATAAAAGATCAGAGTTTATCGCAACTAAATGATTTAGTATTTACTAGTGATACAGGTAATGTTCATGCTACTGAAACACCATATGTTACTCTGTAGCTGGTTGCCAGCTTGGCATCCCTATCTGAGAGTTGACATAGCTGAAACGATGTTGCTAGTTATGTTAGGCATGTCAACCCTTCCTGAACACATACCACCACTCTATGAATAAGTTTGTCATTTTAAACAAATTTTCAAATAAATATATTAGGCCTACATAGTTAAATTACAATATCTCTTTACAAACCAAAGATTCAAATCATTTATAACAAAAAGGTTTCTACATAAATAAATCAATTTGATCACACCTACCATGTTTAATAATATAATATAATTTATATTATATAGTAATTATCAATATTACTGAAGGTGGGAGTGAGTACATCAATCAATTAAATCAATAAATACTTTATATTTTAAACTTCAGTTGATTGGAGAACGCACAGCGTGAAACTCTCGAGTTTCAGATTCTATTTTAATATTTCTATTGAACTTAAACATATTAAAACTTTCTGTTACTGTGCAGTGGCAGAGCCAGGTTTACGTCTGAGGGGGGTCGAAATATCTGAGATTGCCCGAATTTCTAACCTAGTTATGAGATTTTTGCCCGAAAAACATGCCTTCGGGGCTGCAAGGTGGCGTCCCTCCTTTGGCTCTCCCTCCACTGTTACTGTGTAGGTGGAAAGATGAAAGCATCGATTCACCTAAAGAAAACATACTTGTAACACGTTTTTAATTTCTCACAAAGGCCATTTATAAATTCATATTGAAGTTTTTTATCAACTGAAGTGATATGCAATCAAATTATAAAAACCTCCACTGTAATTTGAACTAACTTATATTCAAGACAATATTTCAATTGAACAGCCCTGGAACACAAACAAACAAGCCAAAAGATGACAAACTTTAATGAAATAATATGATAGTCATATGATATTTTTACACAACAGTTGAATAACTTTATAATTGTGATGACCTATAATTGCAGTAACCATAGACATTTTAATTGAATATTCTAGATATACAACCAATCAAGCCAGAATTCACCTGAAGTAACCTAGATTTAGGAAGACATATTGATAATCTATTACTAGTTATTACCAGCCTATTGACAGTGTTATAGCCCAATAAATATAATAACCTCCACATAAAACTAACTATATACTAATGATATAATTACTAGGTGATGCACTATACAAATCACATGATATTTTGTCACAATTGGTTATATAATTGATAATGGTTATTCACCTGAATCAATCTATATACCAACTTCCTAACCACAGATTTCATTTGTACAATCAGTTAAAGGTGACAATCTCTATTGCAATAATGTCTATTGACACAATAGGTTGAATTATTTGTGAACAATTGTGATTCACCTGAAAACCTGTATAACTTTTAACAACAATTGCAGCCAAAAGGTGACAAATTCTAATACAAGAATATACTGGCCAGATGATAATTCCACAGAATTTATTACCAGTTATTATTGACAGAGTTATAACCCAATAATTATTATAATAACTAACTCAACCTAAACAGCAATATAAATACTAGGTCTACTATATGGTATACCTGGTGAAGATCCTTTGACACTATGAAACCCAGAAAGGTAGGCTTGATGAATTTCTCACATTGCCTGTTAAAAATGTCCTTAAACAACATATATATCAATTTCCAAGATACCTATTTCTGATTATGACAGTCAAAACAAATTGGGTATCAACAAACCAAAAAATCCTGCCAAGAATGTGGCTAATCCAATCCATATCTACTTGGCAGTGATAATAAGTGACCTTATAATACCTGCATAATCCAATTAATATTGTATATATAGAAACACAAATATTATTTCTAATCTCTGTAGACAATTAGACGACTTAACACTATAACACTGATTTACTGTCAATCTACTGTCAACTTTCAAATTAATGGTGCTTAGATATCAGCAAACCTATCACCAAAAGAGTATTGTTTAGAAGTTTAAATAATCTATAAGCATTTGGAAGTGACTTTCATGCAGGTATATAATCTTAAATATAACTGAATTTTTTAAATCCAAAAATTACAATTGAGCATGAGCATAACCCTTGGATTTCAACTTTATGTTCCATATTCATTGATTTACAAAACTGTGTGTTGTGGTTCTGTGCAGTTCCAATAATATAGCAGAACATACTTCTTTAAATTCCAAATCAAACTTTAATTCTATGCATAATGTTTATTGAATGTCACCTATACCCTTTGTAAAATCGCTGTATCACTGTCCATTACTTAAACAAGACCAGTTAAACTAGTCCAATAAAACCACACCAACAAAACAATTCACAGCAATCTAAGCCCACTGTCATTTCCAATACATAACTGTCAATGAAACTTTGTTAAATACCTGTCCAGTTGAAATCCATTGTTAGAACAATACCAGTGAAAATATTCCATTAAAACAAGGTACAGAACAATTCCTATCCAAACTTTCAGTTCTACCTATCCAGTAACCATCCATCACTAGAATCATTAAACTACACCAATAAAACAATGGTATATCAGCAGGTAGAAGCCATATTGTATATTGATTGTACTGTATTTCTGTTGGTATTTGAAATATGTGACTATTGATTATTATATAACACTGTATCAGTCACTTATATAGACTAGTTTATCACAACATGCTCATTCTTTCAGGACACCTGATGCCATTTTTATTACCTTATCATAAGATTATCATTCTCTTCCACATTATATCAATGATATATATCATGCTGTGCTCACTCTTCCAAGGCACCTGCTGCCAATCTGTACCTGGGATTGCCACTATAGATTGCCACTATAGATTGTTATAAAACAAAGTGTTAATTTATGTATAACATTATATAATGTATAATGTATTGGCATTCTCAATCTAATCATGGTGCCACTCTGCAACTTTTAAACCACCCCAAGAGTTGTTGGGACTTGAAGAATCCAGATAGCTCATATGTTTTTTAATAATTGAGGTTGTCAACTTAACAACTTAGGATTCATTTTGGAAAGTTTGATCATGAACAAATGTTGATTGTGCTGAATAAAATAGCCAATTACTCCATAATTTCTAGGAATAGTGTACAACTTCTAAAGTTGCTCTACATTTTTATTTGATTTTGATAAATGTGATAAATTATGTCCATTTTGGAACTATCTGAAAATGTCTGTCCTACTATATTAACTTGTATATGTGGACCCTCCAAAAGAAACACCCATAGATGATTGGATGGATACGAAAGTTATACAAGTTTGTTTGCCGACAATTACTTTGCTAGACAAAAATCTGGACAAACATGACTTAAAAGGGAGATAATTTGTGTTTATTTGATGTGTTAAGTTTGTCGACTGTTGATGAAGTCACGTCTGTGTTTATTCTATTTGTTGACTTGTGATCTGAGATCAATGTTTCAAACATAAGTTTTCATCAACCTCTTTAAAATCTAGTCATTTTCTACACAGACCAGAAATTCTTTCTAAAATAAATGATAACACCGACGGATTTGAATTTTAGAAAACTTTTTTAGATAATTAAAAATACAAAAGATTTAATCAACCTCCACAGACCAACTTGTCTTCAATAACTTAAATTTTTTCTACTCAATACATTGATTAGTTTGAAAACTTTATTAAATAGTTCAAAGTTACAAACTCAAGATTTAATCAAAAATTTCAAAAACTTTGTGCTTCTGAAATCTATTCATGATAAATAAACCAAGTACTAACTATCTGAATCTCAAAACGAAACCAGAAATCCAAACATATTGGCAAAACATTGGTAGCAGCTAATGAACTTTTCACAATAAGAAGTATAACAATCATAAGTAAATATTTCAAACGGAAAGTGATATCAGGTGTAAAGAGAAGAGTAAGCAGTAAGAAGAAACAGTTCTCTGATGAATAGTCAGATCTAGCAGCCTTATAATACTACTTCTGATGAGCTAATCGCTAATTTTTTGTTAACAATAATCTTTTAAATTCAGAACTCAAATATATTTTTCTGTAGCATGTAGTTAGTACAAGGCAATTTTTCAACATGTATTTTTTCACATGTTTCAGCTTCCAAAGTAAACAACTATTCAGTCCTCTAAGAATCAAGACTAAACCCCAGTAAACAGCAAGGTGTTAGAAGGATTAGAAATAAGAGTACGTAATCCCTGGTGGTTTACCGAACTAAATTAACCCTGGATTAACCAAGCTTCAGCCAATCAACAAGTACAGGAAGTCATAGAGGGTACCCTGATATCTTGGCATTTGGCAACTATTAAGGATAATAGGCTATATTGAAGCACTTTTTCACACCAATTTTATAAAATTTTGTCTAATTTTATTAATTTCTTGTCGGTGCTTTCATTATTTGCTGATGACAATCAACATTCGTTTCAACTACATATAACCTTATATATATATAAGCTGGAAGCGAATGTTAACTTGTCATCTACCTACCTATATATATATCAGATTTTATACAATAACATGGGAATTTTTGGTCAGGCATTGATCTGGTTGTATCTCATGATTTTTACCATTATAGCAGTGGCAGGTGTTGCACACAAAGCAGACCATGCTTACTCATTTTGAAACACCTGATGGTACTTCTATTTGGAGGAGTCCACTACTATACTACCTTTACTCATGATTTTGTCATACCTTGGATGAATTGTCTTGCTTGTACAGATTTTTTATTACATCCTTCTTTAACTGTGTAAAGAGGGAAACTGTACATGTCAAATTCAACCTGGAACTTTTTCAACTATAGAAAATCAACAATGTAGATAACTAAAATATTAAATATATATCATTCTGTCCTAGTATCAGACACGATTCTAGATATCAACTATAAAAATACAGATAGTGGAATAAATAATATATAATAGTCCTGACAACTAGAAGATAGATGTAAATAGAATTGAGTTCCTAGCCAGGAAATAGTCTTGGTGTGTTTATATCTTTACAGTCATTAAAGATATTATTTAGGTAAAATCCATAGTAATTGTTATCCAGTAAGGCCTGTTCTTTACTGCCCCAAAATAAAGCATGAACTCACTTAGTTGCTCTGACCATGATGTCTTTTGATAATCATATTTTACTCATGGACAAAACATGTTGAAGCGAAGAAAAAAATAGGTGTATATCCCTGTACATTGAAGATTTAGTGTTGCTTAAACCAATGGTATTGAAATCATCAGAAAAAATCTTGGTCATTGGTAAACTATCATGATACATTGTTAAACTATCAAGATACATTGGTAAACTATCAAGATACATTGGTAAACTATCATGATACATTGGTAAACTATCAAGATACATTGGTAAACTATCATGATACATTGGTAAACTATCAAGATACATTGGTAAACTATCAAGATACATTGGTAAACTATCATGATACATTGTTAAACTATCAAGATACATTGGTAAACTATCAAGATACATTAGTAAACTATCAAGATACATTGTCTGATACATCAACTAAGGTGACACATCTGAAATAATGCTGTCATGTTGATCACTATTTCAAAACTAAACAAGCCAAAAATTTAACCACATGCAATTATCTCATATTGTACAAATGAAACAGAATTTTAAACTAATGGGGATGAGCAAAATCTTCCCAGGATAACACACACAAGAAATATTTAAACAAATTCTGAATTTTTCAGGGAACTCTGGCATTGTAAGTTGTATTGCGATTTTTGGCGACGATTGGATTCCATAGGCTTAAAACACACTCTATTACCACAAAATTCTGAAACCACAACCCAACCATTCGAGAGTTTCAGAGCTGTGGTCATATCACATTCCATATCACATTACATACAAATGGCAACTGTTACAAGTGAAACTGTAAACAAAACTCAGTTGAACTTTTCTAAACTCAATGACTTTAAATTGACTCTTTTCTTACAAAAACTTACTTTTTTCTAAAACAACCAACATAATGACGGGAAGTGTCAATACATTAAACAGAAAACATTTTCCCTGTTGAAACTAAAACAATGACAAAAACATGTCAACTTTTAAAACAAGTCAACTTTGTCTTCTCAATACTTCAACAACTTGTGGTCACCTTTGACTGTGTATACACCAAGTCTAGTTATAAGAAAAGCTCCAACATGTACATGTGCTGGGAGGTGCCAAGTACAAAAAGACAACTTGCAATTCGCTTTTAATCTGTGATTTTCATTTCGGTGTTTAGGTTGGAGTTTGGGGGTGCGAGCCAACTGATATACTGATGTCTACCAGCAAGCAAATATCACTACAAAAGGTCCTAGAAAGTGGGGAGAGCAAAATGTAGAATGGGTATCACCCTGTATCAAAGTATCTTATAATTATTCAGTTCATTGACCAACTTTGTTTTCAAAATTCTAAAACTTGTAATATCCTTTAAATGAGTAACAATATACCCATTAAGAAACTAGGAACAACTCAAAAGACCAAACAACTCCTGCTAATCCCTTTCAGAATATCCATCAACTGATGATTGGATTTGTAAATAAGATATTTCTTTAAGAAAATCTGTATAGCAGACAATAACAGTTTGATAACATCAACTTAAATCATCACAAAGTTATCACTGAAGTCAAATTGAACTAACTTTTTAACTTTAAAACTCATCTTTTCATCTGATCATCTTCAACAAGGGTGAATATGAATCAAACAAAACAATACAAAAATGCCAATTTTAATCCACTATTAAAATATATAATTATATTACCATGTAGTTAAAGTCCAATTCACAAAAATAACCAATATTTTTTCTATTTTTTACCCTAATTTCCAATCCACAAAAGAAAGAGAATAATTATATATTATTACCATGTATTCAAGTAACGTCCAATAGAAAAATTACCGTTGTTAAATCCTGAGACATAAAATATCACTGATTCACATAAAACACAACAAAACACCTTTTATCCTGGTTGATAGTAGGTATTAGTCCGACCTAACTGTCAACTATAGAGTATACACAGGTACATAATGTCTCGACAGGCCGTCAACTCAAGCAAACAAATCTACATCAAGGTCAGGGACTGTCATACTGGGTTAAGATTAATCAACTAGCTCAATCATTGGCTTATTTTATCTCATTAGCCAATCAACTGATGTACATATAATTCTAGGAGTAAATCTTGATAATGCAGGTAGAGCTTTGTGCACAGAAACATCTGATAAAATCTTTATTTGGTAATTACAAACACAGATTTCAATGACATCAGAAATGAATAACCAGTGTCTTGACAGGATTGGAAAAAGGTTTTTCTCAAATTTTTATGTGTATCAGGGACACCGATAGCATTGATTGGCAACAATTTCAGTTCTTGCAATTCCAACAATTACACTAAGCGTTAAATGATGTCACTATCACAAAAGCCTAATATATCATTAGCAAGTTTTGCATTAGTCATGTCATAGAACGCTTAGTTTAAGGTTAGGGGAATTATACAAACACATTCTGACTAAAAAATGAAATGGTGCAAATGACTATCAGCATCTCAATTATACATACAAAGTTTAGAAAATTTACAAATCCCCAAAACTTAAACCACGTTTACAACAAAAGACTTTCCCTTACCACCACACGTTTTGACCAAGCCAGTCTGTGTATTCAGGTATTATCAAGTGACAAACTGATCAGATTTCATGAAAGACTGAATATGAATATCTCATCAATGTGGACATGTTCTAGTTGACCTGTGCTGGTCTGAACACGGCCTGATCATTGATTAAGCTATGTGGTAATCTAGTTTGTAGCAAGGTATATTAGACTGTTCATGGATGTGCATCAAATACCCCTTTTACAACAGTCCAAGTTAGGCGTTTCAGTCATGGTGTTAATCTAGTCTACAAAAGGTATACAGTATTTGACTACAAGAATTTGCATCACAGTCCCTTTTACAACAGTCCTTGATAAAGCGTTCAAATAATGGTGAAAATCTTGTCTTTACATGGGTGTGCAATGATATTACTAGAGTAATTTATATATATACTAATTTCATTAGTGATCATAGGCTTCATTGTAAATCTTGTTGTATTAAAAATGTACCTGAGTATGCATATATATTAGAATTAATCTCCTGAGGATAAATCAACTCTAGAATATTGAGTTGATGTCATATTTGAGTGAATTAAGGCTTAGATAAGATGGTGTTAAGATGATATTTCATTACCAGATCAAAATGAGTTATTACACCTTACTTTTCTGCTCCAGTTTGAGCTAATGAAGATAGGCAGTGAGGGACACTTTGTCATGAATTAGCAAACTCATTATTATCGATTTTCAACCATAGGGGTACCTGTAACTAGCACAACCTAAACTATGCCTAGTGAAGAACAACCCGTTGCAAAAAAAATACTGTTACTGGTTGATTGAGGCTTGTTATTTGGATGAATTAGGAGAGGCCATTAATAAGGTTTTTTGATAATCCTGTCTAAAACCTCGTTATATTAGAAAGTACATGAGTGGGCATTTATATTGAACTCATGTTTGAAGTAGATTATATATAGATCACTAATAATTCAACTATTCTTTCCAAAAGTCTTAAATCTTATCAAAAAATTTTATCATTGATGTGACAACTTTTCTTCCAATATTCGTAACAGAAGTTATTGAATACTGAACACAAAACAAACATTGTATTAAATGGAACATTTGTTTTATTGACCATATTCCATAAGTTTAAAATGTTGTATCATATCACAAAACAATTATATTAGATCCAACAACCGTAAAACATACATAAAGTTATATTTATATTTATTACAATAATTTGAGTGTCTGCTTACAGTAAGTATTAAGATTTTATCTTCAGACCTTGTGAAGAATTCAACAATACTGAACATTAATTAGAAATATTAGAAATTTGAGATTTATTACAGAATTAATAATGATACAAGTCTAATCATATTGGCTATAAAGTTCATTATATACCACTGCTGTCACAATTTTTAATAATTCAGAGTCAGAAATTTTAATAATTCAAATTGAAATTTAATGAATTACTTCAGAATTAACCAGGTGATAGTTCAAATTTAAAAATTATTGTAATGATTCTAAGAGCTTGTATTCAAAGATTCATAAAAATAATTCTTTTAAGGCTTATGCTTTATTTCGGAATCAAGATTTAATTTTGATATTTTTAAAAACATCCCTGTAATTTCATAACTCTGATTATTTACTGTATTCTCAGTAACAGTATCAAGCCAGGCCAGAAGTTTCAATAGAGAAATGTTTCTTTCAAATTTCAATGAAAGTTAATGTTGAAAATATTTTGAGAAATGGGGGTTAGAATTTTACTTTTCTTCATTTTTTCTTATAAACACCAATTATGTATTATAAATCCTAATATTTGGTGACATTCTCCCCATTTTTTAATAATGACATGGTAATGATAGTTTAATAATAGACTCCCTACTAGGGGTTGTCTACAGATAATAATCAAGGAGCACTTATTCTACTTCATAAATATAACACACAATATTGTTACTATTCACACTGTTCGTAACAAGTTTATTTACTGGTCAATTACACTGTGGGACGTCCAATCATCAGGTACTTCACAAAACAATAAGAACTTAAGATGTCAACTTGCTTAGTTTGACAATTTATAGGAAATGTTGACAGAAAGATCACTTCAAATGCATACTGATCCCGAATTCTGTTGTAAAAACTTTTGATCTTAACGCATATTGGATGAACCTCGACTATGTCTAGCCAAACTAAAACTTTAACAAAGTAATACTTCACTGATTGACAAATTTAAACAGATTGTAAAGAATTTTTATGACTTTTCTTCGTGTATCAGGGTCATTATACATATGGATTATATTTGCATCATTTTAATCTTGCATCAGATGTCTGTGGTCCCTGTCATTATAGAAATGCTCTATATGATATCACTTCTCCTAATAATACCTGACAATAACGTAAAACATTAAGATTTAAACATAGTTTTAGTGCAATTTTAGTGCAACTTACAAGACCCAAAGACATCTGATTGAAATTGGAGTGGTGCATATCAATGCTGTCAGTGTGTATGATACATATACAACAACAAATCTATCTATATTAGTAATATTTCACTGTTGAGACAAGTTTAAAAACCAGTAATCATAGTAATCAGGTCCATGGTCAGTTGAATTTGAAAGACAAAAAATGTTAAAAATGTGTAACAGCTAAACCGTGTAATGGTGTCTGATATACTGACAACAGATAACAAGTTTTACTTGTTTGAAATTTCAAATTTTAAATCTAAATTTTTTTTAATAATGTTTCTAAATATAGTCTTATTGGCCTGGTTGTTTGTAAAGTCAGGCTTGAATCATGCACAACTTTTTCAAACAAGCTCAAATTGCTGGTGTTGAACAAATTCATCCAATGTTTAATATCATTTACCTTCTATTTTCAGACAAAAATAACATTGCATAGAGTGCCCCCCAAATAGATTGAATCAATCATAAGATTTTGATGAAGAGTGCACTACTTGGAGAATTACCAAACCATATGATGATATGACATTATGACTGAAAACTGATCCAGGGTGGAAACCATTGGATCCAGTAGAAAGAGTTAATCGTGCAAGGCAGTCAGTTGTCCCCGCAAAGTTGGCAAGTCATTTTATTCAATATTAGGACCAAAGACTCAATTGTGCAAGACTATCAGAGAGAGGTTAAGCACTTAAACCTTTAATGAAGATATAAGACTCAATCATTCAAGGCTTTCAGATCTCACAGCAAACCATCTGATTCAGAATACAGACTGAAGACTCAATTGTGCATGTCTATCAGTTGTTCCATCAGAGTGAACAAGACTAGAATTATCAATTCTACCAACCACCAGTAAAAATAATAGAAGAGATAACTCAATGCTTTATTAATATTCTGAGAGTAAACAACATTTAATAAATTACTTCTTATCATAGCCGATATTTCTTCTAAAAGTTTTTTTGGATTTCTTCCAAATGTTATGATTACTGATAAAACTGTGTGAA